ATCAAGATCTGGAAAGTTTCAAGGGCAACACCTCAAACTCATCGCTGTGCTTGTCGAAACAATCCTTGGCCAGTTTTGCTTTGTGGTAGAGCACATTATCAACGGCCATCAGGTAAAACCATTGTTATTCAAGGGTGTACATGGTCTGCAACAAATATCAGGTAGATGATACGTATCAAACTAACATCAATAGTAATGGCAGGACCCAAGGGTTCCCAGCAGAACGTAGCCCAAAACATCACATTGCCTCGGTCCCACTGTGCATCCTTTTGCACTTTTGACTCAAAGCACTTTCCTCATTCACCCATTCATCACAATCTGGCCTTTCAAACTCACTCAGATCCTTAGGCCTGCCCATTTCTCTGCTTCTCTATTATATTACCTTCAACAGGTGCCACAATGAAGAGTTAATGAGTGTTATTATTTCACCTGTAAGTGATCACAATGTTCCCAAAAGTCAGGAGAAAGCTTTATGTTCATAATAAAAGCCTTTTATTAATAATTAAAAGTTGCCAATACTACTAATAAGGACAACAAAAATCCCCAATCAACTTTTACATAAATAAATGATAATATAATATACACTTGAGGAAAAACACTAATGGATAAATAATAAGTTCCTAATCCCACAGATGAACTCCAACTAAACTGTTCTGGACTGCAGTGAGCCACAGCACTGGGACACCAGCTCTGGACCAGCTTCAGTTTCTGGTTGGTGCTCTGACTGTCTCACAGTTTCAAAATAAGAAAGAAGGGACTGTTCTACGACTGTTCTAACAGCTCTCAATCACACAGACATCCATACAGCTATTACATGTATGTATGCCTAAAGGTTTTCTAAGTCCCACAACCTCACACGCCGATGGAACACTGGGGGTAACTTAGGTTTCACCATCTCGCCCAACGATACTCGGGTATCTGGACAGGAGACTGAGGAATCAACCTTCCGCTTAGTAGACAACCCGCTCTACCACCTGAGCCAAAACTCTCCCAGGTATGATCTATGTATAGGAAACACTAAATTTACTGCAAAACTAATTACAGAGTACAACAAAAAAGACAGAATCCAACACTTGTGACATACCAATGCTTTATCATTATCGCGTTGGATTCTGTAACTTCTACTCTTCATTGTCTCAAAGGAGCCTCTCAAGGAGGCGGCACGTATCGTATATAGTTTTATTCATCAAGCAAATCAGACTGCCGATCACACTAATGATGCAGAAGTCTCAAAAACGGACAAAAGCGCAGGTATCAAATATGACACATTAGGTGTTAAAGACAGAAAAATGAACCTGAAATAGAAAGATAAGTGAGGATAGTCTGTTTGTGGGCTTGTCATTATCTAAACTGTGCTCTGACACGCTGATGAGGTCATTATTTGTCTCAGCTGTAAACAGTACGGTAAACAGAATTCCTTCCCCGTTTTGTTGTTTTTATCCTTGATCGTTATTAATAGACACTCTGATGTTCAAATATGCAAATTTTCCTTGATCATTTTCCCCTGGAGAGTAAACCAGACTCTCACTGAACATTCAGACTCTGGATAAAAGGCTTATTTAGCCATTAGCAATGTGTCTGACGATATCTGCTGGCCTTCATTGGCTCCTTGTGATATACAGAATCTAATTTTAAGTCCTTCTTTTCACATATGAGGTCTTGAATAATCATGCCTAGCTATCCTAAACACCTTTATAGTGCACCCCAATGAAGCACTTTGCTCTCAGTCTGCTGGCTTACTTCTGACCCACCCTTGGTTATGTTAAAATCAGCTTGTTTTGCTGAGGCCTTCCCATGATGGAGTAATTCTCCTCTCACCGCTCTTCACTCACCATGTGTTTGGTTTCTGTAGGTATTACATACATTTCAGGAACTGTGTTTAATACTTCTCCTGTGTGTCATATTTCATTATTACACATCACCTAATTTATGGACATCTATGGTTTAATGTTTTGCATGTGTGGACTGGATGGGTTGTTACCAACACCTGATGAGAACTTCAGGTTAACTTTAGAAATATATTTACGTGTGCAATACTAATTTTAAACACTGTACTCGGATTATCATTATCATCATATTTATTTATAAGGCACTTATACATAAGTTAACTTATACATAAGATATAAATAAAAGCCAAATTAAAGAAAAAAGTAAAATAATTAATTAGTGCTTTTTCTTGTAATTAAATTACTTATTAACTAAGTCTCACTGAGGCCAAAAGCCAAAGAATAAAAATGTGTTTCAAGACATGTTTTAAAAGTGGACAGTGAAGGGGCCTCTCTAACATGCAAGGGCGAGTTATTCCATTATTTAGGAGCCACGATAGAAAAGGCCCCGCCCCCTCTGAACTTCCTCCTGGATCTTCGTACTTCCAGGAGCATGACGAAGAGATGTAGGGATGAGGAAGCTCAGATAGGTACGGTGGGGCAAGATTGTGAAAGTGTTTAAGAACAATCATAAGATTTTTAAAATGAACTCTAAAAGACACAGGCAGCCAGTGAGGCCAGCACAGGTTATATGCTCTCTTTTACAGGTTCCTGTTTGCAGTCGTGGAGCTGCAGACGTGAGAGCAACTGACTGAGCCCCACATAAAGTGAGTTACAGTCGTCCAGACAAGAAGAAATAAAAGCATGGATCACTGTTTCAAAGTGCTGCCTCAAAAGAAAAGATTTCACCACTGCCAGTCAGCTTAAATGATAAAAACTGGACTTCACTGCTGCTCTAATTTGGCTGTCCAATTTAAAATCACTGTTTAAAATAAACTTCCAAGAGTCCCAAGGTTCTGCAGAGGAGGACTCAGAGGGACCACTGGGTCCAAACACCAGCACCTCTGTTGGCTTTGAGCTTTTTAAATGTTAATGAAAATAAAACCAAGCTTTAATGTCATCTAGACATGTCAAGAGAGGTTTTATGGAGATCCATCCTAAATACATTAGGCAGCCATCAGTGTAACAATGAAAAGAGATCTGATGCCATCTAAGGATGGAACTCAGAGGCAATACATGCAGTAAAAAGAGCAGTGGGCCTAAAATTGAGCCCGTTGGGATTAAAGAATATGTTTTTGTTTGTTTTCATCTAGGTCTCCGAGTTCTGCCTCTCAGTTGGCCCTGAAAATAATCAAATCATGGCAGCCATTTGGATGTAGTGGATATGTGGTTGGTGCTGAGTGGCAGGCACCGGGTGGACACTGGGGGGGGGGGCTTTGTAAGGCAAGGCAATTCAGCACAAGGCAATTCAAGGTGCTTTACATGATTAAAATAAAACACATAAAATAGAACATAAATCACTTTAAAAGGTAAAAATACAAGAAAAACATTTAGAAGAAAGCATTTACGATAAAACAATAATCAAGACAATAACTTATATGAAAAATCAAAAACAAACAGGTAGAGAGCCATAATAGGATCAGTTACTCATAAGCAAGTCTAAATAAGTAGGTTTTAATTTTAGACTTAAAAGAGTTCAGTGTCTCTGTAGCTTTGCATTCTCCTGATAGTGAGTTCCAGATGTGAGGAGCATAGAAATTAAAAGCTGCTTCTCCATGTTTAGTTCTGGTTCTGGGGACGGTCAGTAAACGAGAGCTGGAGGGGCTAACTGATCTGAATGGTTTGTACTATGACAGCAGATCTCTAATGTACTCTGGTGCTAACCCATTCAAGGATTTATACACTAATAAAAGCACTTTAAAGTCTATTCTCTGAGCTACAGGGAGCCAGTGTAATGACTTTAGAACTTGGAGTTATGTGCTCTATTTTCTTGGTTCTAGTGAGAACACGAGCACCAGCGTGCTGGATCAGCTGATATATTCACATATATATGTGAATATATCACTAACTATAGTTTAGTCCATATGTTTTTGTAGTGATGCTTCTCCAGACCACCACACTGGACTTTAAGTCAAACAATCAAGATGTGTTTAGCTTTCCTTCAAGGGATTGAACAATACTAATGCAAGAACTGTAAGGAAAGTGCAGCCATTTTTTACAGATAATCGTGCTAAAAACCCACATGATTAAACAAAGATGCTGGAATAAACGCATAAATGGGGCAATTTCAGAATAACCTGAACCTGAAGGTGCTTTTTTTCTAAACACTTTTCTGCCACAGTTGTGGCTGAATTAGTTGGTTTTCCTTATAAACAGTCACAGCAGCTGGTGTGTCTGCTCTGACTAACAAATAAACTGACAACATGAAGGCTCTCAGAACCAGAATGACACCCTGTTCAACTTATAACTAGACTGTTTCAGGTATGGGATTTTTACCACAACCATTTCCATGTGAAAGTGCTTCAATGATGCCACATAGGTTTGCATGATGTAACATAGAAAGTTCCTGGCTGCCCGCTGAGCTCCAAATACACTTCACCGTTCACCTTCAACCCTGTTTTTAGATGCTTTAGGCTGAAGAACACAAGACCAAAGTTCCAGATGGACAACAAGTTGTACCACAGTAAAACACACCAGACCTTACTGTTTACTCAAAACAAGGCAATAGTTCAGATCCACACTCTCAGGAAATAAAGTAGCTAATGTACTTTCAGGCAAGCTAATCACTCTCTAAAGTACTACCCTTGTACCCTCGACAGTGGGCAGTTATTTAAGCCTTTGTACAAATAACTGTCTCCTCTTATAGAGCTATACTAGTAATTTAAGGTGATGCTTGCAGGTGCCCTTCGATACACTGGTGATCTGTCCAGGTTGTATCCCAGCTGGGAAACTCTGCAGCTCCTCGTTTTACTTACAGCTAGTTATCAGCATTACGCCCATGAAGCTGAATAACAAAAGCTTCTCTTAATAACTAATGAAAGCACATGTTATAGCGTCATATTCTGGATGTCCACTGTCAACGCAGAATAAAAGTATCAATAACAGCAATATCAAAACAACAACTATGAAGCTACAGTAAGCTGCAGTTTCTTATGTTGATTTCATTTGTCACCGTTATTCAAGTCCATCAGAAAGTAAGCAACCGGTGGATAAGTGAATAACTGTGGAACGTACCTGGGGGACACAGGCAGCTGTGGGAAACTTCTCTCACATCCCGCGTCTTTGGTAGTCGCGCTGCAAGCTTCTGTGTGAGACAAAGAACAGAGGAATGTTAAACTGAAGGT